TAAAAATATTTTTTCACAGTATATATAATATATAATATATAATAATATAATTAAGTCAAAAACTATTTAATATTGGATTCATTTCGAAGGTATTAACAAGACGATTATAATGGTGTAACTTGTTAAAATGAAAATGTATTTTTTAAATATGTTTTAATTGATATACGATTATGTATATTAATTTGATAAAGGTTTAAAATAAAACATTTAAAAGTAAAGGACGTAAAGTAAATTAATTAACTAATTATAGAAGTATAAAATGTAAATTTAAAATTATAATTAAAAAAATCGGGTTGTGAGAGGGTAAATGTATGCAAGGAGAGGAGGGGGTGAAAAAGTGATATAAAGGGTATCTTGGTCATTTAGTATTTTAAGACTTTAAGACTTTTGTTAAATTTGCTTTATAAGATAGTATAGATAAAGTGTAAATTTAAAATTATAATTTTAAAAAAATCGGTTGAATGTGAGAGGGTGAGTGTATGTGAGAGGGTGAGTGAATGTTGAGGAGAGGAAGGTGAAAAAGTAAAAAAGTAAAAGGGTATCTTGGCCGTTTAGTATTTTAAGACTTTAAAACTTTTATTAAATTTGCTTAATAAGATAGTATAGATATACTCTATTTTAACTTTAATATTTTCTAAAGAGTAAAGTTCATTTTTGGTCTCTAATGTTTGTCAATTTCAACGGTTTTTGTCTCTCAACTTCGTTTTCTGAGATTTGACCCTCATGTTTGTCCATTCTCAACAGACTTTGTCCCTCATCCTAACGGTCTTTAACTTTTTCTGTTAAGTCCAGTTTAATAAAAGATATTTTAGTCATTTAATATATTCCTTTAAGAAAACAAGTAACTGCTTACCCCCACCACACCCATTTCCCCTTCTCTGTGACTCTGAACTATCAGCCCACCTCGAACCCTTTTCTTCAACAATGACATTTCCGGCCAAACAAAAATCCATATATAGAGACATGTAAAACAAGATTCAGTGGAATCCATATACAATCTGTAAGCCAAACCAATCGATCTGCAAGTTAAATCCTATAACAGCTTGAAAACAATCGTCACATAAAACTTATGTAAACTAAACAATCTGTAAACAAAATGCTAAAACAGATTCGAAATCTAGAGGAAGAAAGAAAGAACTAGATTCAGGAGAGGGGAAAAGGGTCTTGGCAGGAAGGGCGACCTCGAACTTGCAAGGATGGGTTCACCAGAGAACGACTTACTCCACAGGGACTATGGGTTGTTCCACATTTACAATTAGAGACGGAAAATAGGGGAGCAGAGAGGGGGAGACCAGAGGTGCAAGATGACGTGTGCTGGCCGATGGTGATGAACTGGTGATGCTGCAATTGTTGGCGGGATGGAGGAGAGGGAGCGAGTGTTGTAGAGAATCGGTGTGGTGGTGGTGAGAACAACTTCTCCCCCAACTTGTGGCTTATGTGTTATGAAATTCGTTGACGATGAGAAGAAAATAGATAAAGAAAAGGGGGTTCCCAAGATTGTGGAAGAAGACGATGGGAAATGGGGGTTTGGGGTTCTCTGTGATACGTACATATATGTAGATATTAGTGAAAATTACATCAAAATTGAACCAACTTTCATCTGATTCTTATTTTGGAAAATTAACTTTTAAAATCGTCATTTTGAGGAACCAACTTTCACCTGATTCATATTTTGGGGAACCAACTTTCACCTTATTCCTATTTTGGGGAACCAACTTTCAAAATCGTCATTTTAGGAAACCAACTTACACCTAATTCCTATTTTGGGAACCAACTTGCAAAATAATTATAAAAAATAACTAAAATTCATTTTTTTCCAAAAATTAATGCAATAAAATCTAATTTTCATTTCAAATCTCGTTTTTTTAAATTCAGATATCAAATTGAAGATTTTTTCAAAAAAAATTCAAATTACCACAATAAAAATTGTTTTTTACTAATGCAATAAAAAATCAATTTAATAAAAAAAATTAATTGATGCAATAAACAATAAATATTAAATATCACATTCAAGAGTTTTATATCTAACCAATCTGTGTCAATATTAAAGTTTAAATCAAATTTGGCAAATCAAATCAAAAGTTTGATAGAGACCCTTAAATTATCTGTTACATGTTCAACAGATCAACCAGACCCTTAAATAAACAAAAAGTTTGATAGAGACCTCTAAATGACGATTTTAAAAGTTGGTTCCCCAAAATAGGAATCAGGTGAAAGTTGGTTCCATTTTGGTGTAATTTTCCCATTTTTCTATAATTATTTTGCAAGTTGGTTCCCCAAAATAGGAATTAGGTGCAAGTTGGTTCCCCAAAATAGGAATCAGGTGAAAGTTGGTTCCATTTTGGTGTAATTTTCCCATTTTTCTATAATTATTTTTCAAGTTGGTTCCCNAAATAGGAATCAGGTGAAAGTTGGTTCCATTTTGGTGTAATTTTCCCATTTTTCTATAATTATTTTTCAAGTTGGTTCCCCAAAATAGGAATCAGATGCAAGTTGGTTCCCCAAAATAGAAATCAGGTGAAAGTTGGTTCCATTTTGATGCAATTTTTCCTAGATATTAAAATGAATTTATATTTTTTTTAATATCACAATTAATAATTTTATTTATTTTATATAATACATAATATATCAGTTTTTTTATTTTTATTAGAAAAGAGGTAAAATGATTAAAATACCCCTTATTAAACTGGACTTAATGGAAAAAAGTTAATGGTCGTTAGGATGGAAGATGAAATCTATTGGGAGTAGACAAACGTGAGGGACAAATCTAAGAAAACAAAGTACAGGGATGAAAACCGTTGAAAATGACAAACATCAGGGACTAAAAATAAACTTTACTCTTTTTTTTTAAATAAAAACCATAAAGCCATGGGATACCTAACTTCTTTTGTTCTCTATCAATAAAACATGAAACTTTGCCACCAGCAATACAATTGGGTTGTGTGTGTGTTGGTGTGAGTTTGTAATCCGTTTAGAGTATGAATCGACATTTTGACTCTTCAGTTTTCTTAGATAGCTCCCGACAAGGCTGTCCCGGGGGAGGGTGATACGGGTGCGGGGCGAACGTCCAGGGCTTAAAATTTTCCCCTAAAATACAATAGTAATCTAAAAGATTTTAATAAATTAAAGAAATTCAAAAAATTATAGTATATAATAAGAGGTAAAAAGAATTTAATAGATAATAAGGACCCAAAAATATACTAACTAATTACATTTGAGAAAAAAATTAAAAAAAAAACTAATTGGTCATTCATTATACGCTATTGTTTATTGTCTCTCTATTTTTTTATCTCCAACAAAGTCCAATGATATTGGCTATTGCTATCTCTAAATGTTTGACTATTTTCGTGTTTCAATAATTCAAAGTTAAGAGCTATTGATATATATATTCTTGTTGGATTTTTTTTTTATCAATTTATGTTTCTATTGACTATTACTATTTGGTTATCTTGTTCTAATTGTTTTTATTGACTATTGTTATCTATTTTTGCTTCTACATAAAATATTTTATTATTGTTTGACAAGCAATCTATTGTTCTTATAATTTGTGACTTGTTTCATGGTTTTTGTGATTAATCAATAAATGTTTTCTACTAGATGTATTTAGTAACGTCTCTTATATATGTCATGTTTCATAAAATTTTAATCTTAACATCTTATTTTAGTTTTGGAAAAAAAGAAGAAAAATATAATTTAAATATTTTCATCGATTGTTTGACCTATGTATCTTTCACTGGGATTCTATCACACCACAAGATTCTATTTAAGTGCTCAAACAATCATTTGTTGAGCTTGAATATTATATGTTTAATTCATTATTTATTTTTATTGGATCTCAATGGATCATTTTTCTTTTATATTCTTATTGATCCTCATTTGTCTACTTGTCTAGAAAACCTTGATAATCTTCTTTATTACTAATCTCTCATTGACTCTCATGATTACTTCATTCACACGAATTCTCTTTTTATATCAAAATAACACATATTTCTTGTTATGAACTAAAAAAATTCTTACTTTTTATAAAAATTTATCAACCATAGTTTCTATACTCTTGGTTTCAAATTACCTAATAAAAAGTACGTAAATTTAAGTACTCTTTTATATATCTATAATAAAGATAAATAATATTTTTTCCTCAGTAAATTATTAGCATTTCTTGTACTCAATTTTAAACTAATAAAAAACATTTATTGAATTTATTTTCGTCCTTACCGAATGTTACTACATGAAAAGTGAGCTTTGACGATGCGCCTTTTAGTGATAACATGTTTCCGCCACAAGTTATAGCGTCGGTATGTTGTTATATAGTCTTTCTGATGATAAATGGACTTTTAACGATGACAAAAGTTGTTGCTAAAAACCTTGTTTTTCTTGCAGTGTGCCATGTTTTTGCATTTGCTCAGGGCCTATAAAATGTCGGGAACGAGTCTGGCTCCCGATAAAATTTGGTTTCTTTGAGAAGGATTTTAGAGTTTTCTATTCATTCTCATATCAATGTATAGATTTGTAAGTTTGTACAAAGATTATAAAATTATAAAATATTTTAATAATATAATTAATGTTTAAATTTTAATGTTCTAGTTAACGTTGAATGTAATTTTTTATAAATCAATTTAACTTTTAATTCTCCATTTAAAAAAAATAAATTATAAAAGGATCTATTCAAAAATACTAAAGAACAATACCGTTAATTCGTCTCCAACTCCCCACCAGTAATTAGTATAGGTAGGCAGTAGGCTTAATTTGCCATTGATGATAGTTGTTTGTAGCACATGCATATATCTAAAAGTGGAGTAGAAGAACCCTACCCTTAATTATAGGATACATATATATATAATACTCTATTCACAAGTGAATGCTAACCAATCAAGTACATAATCACATGTGAATGCTAACCAATCAAGTACATAATCACATGTGAATATTCACTACATGCACAAATTAACGTATTCATGTTCACTTCATATTAGTTCACATTGTATTCACTTCTGAATGCTAAAAAGTACAATTGATATAAAATTTGAATCTAAGATGGTCAATGACAACAAATTCAAAACAAAGTAACGTTAATCCCATGCTAAAAAAGAACATCTCTATTCTGTTACATTTTTCAAAGGGCAGTTCCTCGAGTCGTGTCCCGTGGTTTTCCAACATCGTTTGCACATTCTATCGAACTTGGAACTTTCGGTTACGACTTTCTCATTCGAACCTTCCAATCTTTTCTCACTACTGCACCCTTCGTTTCTAATTCCTATAGGACTGGGAGTTTCAACAACTTCTGGTTTCGAGATTCCAATAAACGATCCTTTAACGTCGTCTTCTTTCTTGTGCGCCGGCTGATTGAGAAAACCCGTCTCTACCTCATTCTTCAAGTCTTGTATTTTCTTTACAAAAAGCGCAAGTTTCTCCTTATCGTCACTCAGTTTACCAATACAATAGTCCACTACCGAATATGCATCATGAGCGAGTTTGTCACAATGCTTACTTGCTTCAAACTCTCGTTTTGTCCTTGTAAGGTTCGTGTCCTCTTTCCTAATCAATGCATGGTTGTGTTTATCTTCAAAACTATATAACCGAAATGTAGACGTACCAGGAATAACCTTGAATTTTGCACATGCTTTACATCCGGTTCTTTGAAATCTCATGTTTTGTTGTCGTTTGTTTTCTACAACACCGGCTTTACTGCACAATATGTACTTCAATATCACACTCCCGTCACGTTTCGTTTTCTGTGTTGACCGTCTAATCGTAAACCCTCCTTTCTGTGCATAATTTGCATACATCTCAATAGCATTATCCAGTGACTGGAATACTGATCCAACAATTGGCTTTACATCATCTTCTACCTTAGGAATCCAAAACTTTGATCCATCAGAAGTCTCTATCTCATTACCATGTTGCAAATCAGCTGTTACATTGCAACGACAACCTGTACAAAATTTTGGTACACTTCCTTTAATGCATCTTTATTCACATGTGAATATTAACTTGCAGAAACACAAAATCAAATGTGAATATAATTGCAACACACGACTATGACTTAACAATAAATAAACACTCATTTTTACTTGCAACACATGAACCTGTGAATATTAACTAATGTATCATGCAACAAAATCGTTGATTGAGCCCAAGAAATAAATGCATCCACGATACATATAGCAGTACCATTTTCGCATGTGAATATAAACTAATCTAGTACACATTCATTGTGAAAAAACTACTACAACACAACATACACGCAATATACAATGAATGAACACTCAAGTTTTTTGTAGCAGGTTCACATGTGAATAAATGCTAATGTATAGTGTAGCAAATCCCCTGATTAAGACCAACAAAAAAATGCATTCCCAATATATATAATAGTACAATATTTTCACATTGAATTCTACCTACTATAGTTAAAACCAATAGGACCATGATCTTGAATATGTATCATTCACATATGAATTGCATGTACTATTTTTTCCATGATCTTAATCCAATTAAGATCCAGTTTTTTTCGATTAAGTATCACGTACATTAGATAACTGAACTATAAAACTTACTTGGTATTGCTTTGTCTTCTTCACTGTCGAATTCTTCCATATTATGCTCCTTGTTCATTGATGATTCTTCTTCCAGATGTGTAGCCTTTGAATGTTCTTCGTCATATTCATCTACGTTCGATTTCATTTGCACAGGCTACCAAATCAATCCATACCTAATACAAAAAGTTGATACAAAATGCTTAAGATTGATCTCGATCTTCAACTAATCGAAGTCGAACGCCTTTCACAATCATTTCAAACCAAATAAGCAGCATGAGAGAAATGAATCTCCAATGAAATCGAAATATGTAATTGATTCATAAAATCAAGGAGTTTCCATGGTTTCCGATTTTGCAAAATGTACTAAAATAGATTTTTGGATTAAAACTGTTATTATTCACAATCGTACCGTTTCTTTGATTTTCTTGATGGATTTTTGTTGCTAGCACGATCATAAACAAACCCCAACCATATTTTAACAATTAATTCCGTCACATGTCGGCCCAAAACGGATTTTATTTCCATCAGGCAGTAGAGCCGCCGTTGGCGACGGCGGTTTCCAAATCGACGGCCGTAGGACCGTCGTTGCACAATAGTGTCACTACCAATCTACTCGTAGACAACTTTTTAACATCTAAGCAGTCATTAACTAAAAGAAAATATGAGAATTTACCTTAGTTCGTTGTTAATGCAGAACGCGAACCTCTTCCTCGAAATCCTTTATTTTCTGCTGTTTCGGTGATGTTTTCTGTCGATTTCTTTGGATTCTTGTTCTTGGGTCGCAAAGAGAAGCTAAAAGGGGTATAAATCCTCGATTATTGCATACTGATTTGCCATCATTTGGTACTCAAACTTGAAGATTTGTTGGGGATTCCTAATTGAAAATTCACGATTTGTTTGGGATTTCTAATGCATATTTCACGACTATTTTGGGATTTCTAAACCCACACCTGCTTGTTGCCTTTTTCAGAATTTAAAGAATGGCAAGACCGGCCCCTCAGCTTCCTGTTTTGCCAATTCGTCTCCTTAAAACAGTTATTAAGCATTTGTGTAGTGTCAAATTTATCATCATTTTTACCCACAAATAAATATATAACAAATTACATAATTATTTTTAAATTTGAAAACTATTTAGGTTATAGTAAAAAAAATTAATAAAATTTTAAATTATATACATAGAGAGAAAGACTTAAGATCATGTAAAACCAGTCTGTTTTTGTGAGACTCGTGAGACCACCTTTTTACACTTGAAATTTTACGACAAAACACTGTGAAATTAACATTCACAGTATTTTTGTTGTGAAGGTTCGGATTTTTTTTACCTTCACAGTGTTCTGTTTTTAAGTTTCAATTGTAATAATGTAGTCTCACGAAAACAAATTGGTCTCACGTGAATATTACTAAAACATGTTCGACCTCAACTTGACACCCATAGTTTCTTATTTATTCGAGCATAAATTTCAAATTTTATAATGAGAAATTACATTAGATATATTAATCATCAATTTATAATTAAATAATTTTACATCTTAGGGGCTGTTTACCCAAATTCTTACTCGGTAAGTACTTACTAATAGGAATCAACATTATAATTTATTTTTGTCGGATAAGATTGTAGTATATTAAAACGGTATCCTATGCAACAATTTACCCGGTAAACCCTTACTCGAGTAAGAGTCATCACCCTTACTTACCGGGTAAGATTCTCCATCTTTATCATCGCTCTTACCAAGTAAGATTTTTGACCTTTGTCATGTTCATCCGGTGAAAAAAATTGTTTGATAAACACTTACTGGGTAAGCGTTTGGTAAACGACCACTTACTATGACTACAAACTCTTATAGTTATATTCATTAAAACTATAGCCTTTTTATGGTATACAATTTTAAAAGTCGATTTGATGTAGTTTTTTGTTTTTCCTTAAAGAATAAATGTGTTGACATTAAATGTAATAATTACCATAAGAGTAGTGTCTGATTGATTTGAGTTTGTGTTTCAAATATCAAAAATGTTTGGAGGTCTCAGATTCAAATCCAATGATGGATCAAAATCCCTTATGACCACAAAGGTTCAAATACGGTGACTCTGAGTTATCTGCAAAATAGGTGGTTGTTCTGATATTAGTCGGCTCGTATAACAGGCTGGATATCCAGGTTAATAAAAAAATTAAATAATTTATAAGTCTGAGTCAAAACATGACATATAATAAAGATCTAAATATGTAATTAATATAAGAAGTTAATTAAACAAGAAAATTGTATGTAAACTACTTGTTTAGTCTCGGAATATGTATCCATATTTTTTGTTGAAGTTGCTTCAAAATAGAATACTAATTTCAAAAATATAGTTATTTATTTAAGGTTGTTTAATTGATTTGTTAGTAAGTCATGTTCAAATAAATTTGTCTGTGTGGATTAATCCATCTTAATAGATTGGGAAGGTTTTTGTGTAGGAGGTTTTTCTCATGGATTGTAATGACCCAAATTTAAAATAACGACAATTAATATAAATGACCAATCAGTACCAACGGTTTACAAGAAAAAAAGGTTTCTTAATTACATCACAAGAAATTCACAGGCAGGAAACAATATTCACGACTGGATTTAATACATAACTTAAAACAAGCCTATGACTGAGACACTAATTAACTCTATAGGTGCATCACAATTTGTCGTTTTACTAGGATGAGCTCTCCACATGAGACTTACTGGAAAATGGTTTAGTTTTTGAAAAACGAGGGTTAAATCAAAAGGTATAGTGAAGTCCCTTACTTCCACAACATTTGAATATAACCATTTAATAAATGTAGAATTTTGAGCGGGGTCCCATTCACCCGTTTAAAAAATATGCATCTGCTAAATTTGGAGTGCTTCGAGATATTAAAAAATACAAGAAACATCAACCCATTTATTTTATGTGTTAGATGAATGAGCATTTTCGTCCATTTAGGTTTTCCCTCTCATTTTTTAACCAAAGCTCCAACCCCCACGTTAAAAGACGTTATTCTCATTTATATTGTCGTCTTCTTTCTTAAAGAAAATTTGTTACTGTGGTATTACTGAAGCCACTATTGAAACCTCATGAACAAATAGAAATCTTGGACGTAGGATCTATGGGTGCTCGAGAATGCATGGTAAGATTATATTTACATCTCATTTGAATCAAGTGTGTTAATCTAATTTTGCTCCATTTTTCCTTTTTACATGGTGAAGAGTGTGGCTTCTTTGGGTGGTTTGATTTGATCCACCAATGTGTTCTAGAGCTTTGGATGTCTTAGTAAGACCAAAGAAGAGTCCATCAAAGACAAAGAAATAAAATTTGAAATGTTCAGTTGCTGTTGGTTCTCAATTGGGTTTTCTTTCATCTATGTTGGTTGGTTGAAATAAGTAGGATTATCAGTTAGGATTTAACTTTTGTTGGTTCTGTGTTGTCATTTTTTTTTTGGAATTTTCATCTAGTTGAAAGGAAAATGGATGATTCTGTGTTTCAATTTAATGGAATTTCTGTACTTCAGGTTAATGGAACCGTGTTTCTGTTAACATTAATCCATCAAATTTTGTACAAGTAGTCAAGTGTTGATACCAAATGGAACCTGCACATTGTTCGTCGTGTACATTGTTGTATCAAATGGAACCTGCACGGGTAATAAAGAGAAACCACTTTCAGAACAAAATGAGAAGCACAAAGATGATTTCTAGACTTATCAAAGTCCAGGTTCACTTTCAAAGATTTCACTAAACCTTGGGACCAAAATTAGAGTTTACTTTAAAAAGATTTAGATTAAATTACAGATTTCACCCCTGTGGTTATATGCAAATTCTGGTGGTTATATGCAAATTATGGATTAGGTCTCCCATATTTCTTTTACTTTTTTGAGCGTTGTGAATGGAGTTGGTCTAAAGCAGGAACAGAAAAATAGCACAAAGTGAATAAAGATAAAGATAGATCCTACTCAATGAAGAGTAGAGTAGTTATTTGTCACAAAACACACAACATCCATAAACAAAACATATCAATCATCCATCACGCATAGAGCTAGGCCTAGTACTCGTCACCGTCATCACCCTCATCTTCGGCACCCTCAGCACCAACCTCCTCATAATCCTTCTCAAGAGCTGCAAGATCTTCACGAGCCTCCGAGAACTCTCCTTCCTCCATTCCCTCACCAACATACCAGTGAACAAAAGCACGTTTCGCATACATGAGGTCAAACTTGTGGTCAATGCGGGAGAACACCTCTGCCACACTGGTTGAGTTAGAGATCATGCAAACCGCCCTTTGTACCTTAGCCAGGTCCCCTCCAGGCACAACCGTTGGCGGCTGGTAGTTGATACCACACTTGAACCCAGTTGGGCACCAGTCCACAAACTGGATGGTTCTCTTGGTCTTGATTGTGGCAACTGCAGCATTCACATCCTTGGGGACAACATCACCACGGTACATGAGACAACAAGCCATGTACTTCCCGTGTCGAGGATCACATTTGGCCATCATGGACGAGGGCTCAAAAGCACTGTTAGTGATCTCGGCTACAGATAGTTGCTCGTGATAAGCCTTCTCGGCTGAGATCACAGGCGCATACGAAGAAAGCATGAAGTGGATTCTGGGGTATGGAACCAAGTTGGTCTGGAATTCAGTCACATCCACATTCAAGGCACCGTCGAACCTCAAAGATGCAGTCAATGATGAGATAACCTACACAAAACATAAAAAAATTTAACAACACATACAGAGTAAAATACTTGTTAGAAAATTCTTGTAAAACAATTCGGGTAAGTGAACATCTCTTACCTGAGATACAAGGCGATTAAGGTTGGTATAGGTGGGACGCTCAATGTCAAGAGATCGCCTGCAGATGTCATAAATAGCTTCATTGTCAAGAAGAATGGCGACATCAGTGTGCTCCAAGAGGGAGTGAGTAGAGAGCACACTGTTGTAGGGCTCAACAACTGATGTTGAAACCTGTGGGGATGGGTACACAGTGAAACCAAGCTTCGATTTTTTTCCATAGTCAACGGACAGACGCTCCAAGAGAAGGGAGCCCAAACCAGACCCAGTACCCCCACCAACAGCATTGAAAACAAGGAAGCCTTGGAGACCAGTGCAGTTGTCAGCAAGCTTTCTGATACGGTCCAAACAGAGGTCAACAATCTCTTTTCCAACTGAAACACAAAGATAGAATATCAGTAGTCATTCTAAACTACAAATAACTACGGAAGTGAAATTGATGAGTGTTCATACTTGTGTAGTGGCCACGTGCAAAGTTGTTGGCGGCATCTTCTTTGCCACTTATCAATTGTTCAGGGTGAAAGAGCTGGCGATAAGTCCCAGTCCTCACTTCATCAATCACAGTGGGCTCAAGATCAACAAATACCGCACGAGGGACATGCTTTCCTGCACCAGTTTCACTGAAAAAGGTGTTGAAAGCATCATCACCTCCTCCAACAGTCTTGTCACTCGGCATCTGGCCATCAGGCTGCATAGAGAAATCAAAACATCAGTAACTTATCAACAATATACAAAAACCACCATTGGTTTACCTAGTAAAAAAAGCATGATGAAAGATCTTTTTCAAGGTAAGAGTTTTGCCTGAATGATCTAACGGTTCTGGGATAGAAGATCTATTGCGATATAGATTGTTCATTCAGTCATTTGGTCATAGATCTAAACAATTCAGATCCACAGCAAGCAAGGGAAAACAAGTAATCAATTCAGACCTCTAGTACTAGAGCAAACCGTATCAGAATGAAGGGCGGTTTCAACACCACCAATTTCCCCAAAAAGAACAATATAAATTACGCGAAAAATTAGGAACCTAACATCGATCAGTCAGAAATTCACGCGAATTTGAATAATACGCAACCAACCGTCATGAAAATTAACTTCAAAAACCCATCTAATCTGACCAATGACACAGATCAGTGTATCTGAGTACAAACTCACAGTATGTTACTATTTCTAGATCCAACAACTTCTAGAAATGATTCTGAACAAAGTCCTAGAAAAATACAACAAAAAGTGTACGATTTAACTTTGAAAATAAACAAATTTGCAGATCTACATGTTTTCAAAGCATAATCTCGCAAATCAGATAATGAAAGCCTGTAATTCAAACATATTTGCATCTTTAACAACACATCCACTAAACTACGGACGAAAGCCAAATAAAAAGTCCGGATCGTCTGAAATGATAAAGAATAACACCGATTCACTATACAAACAACAGATCTACTACCAATCTCGATCTAACCATTCAGATCTGGCGAGTAACTAAAGCGTTGATCAAAATTCATGCATTTTCATATATAAATCAGAGATCTTGAAGTAGGAAAAGAGAGAGAGAATCGAACCTGAATGCCATGCTCAAGGCAGTAAAGTTCCCAGCAGGCGTTTCCAACCTGGATACCAGCCTGACCGATGTGGATCGAGATGCACTCCCTCATGTTCGCCGTAAGAAAAATGAACAAACGAAAAGTTAAGAATTGGAGTTGCAAACAGAAACAATCAAAAGACGTTTATCAAGACGCCTTGAGATGCAAATGTGTGTTCTTCAGGATTAGGGCTTGGGTATTTATAGTTGAGATACACTAGAGAAGTGAGAGTAAAGCCAGACGATAGTTTAACCATGGTTAGGGTAGGGAGGGAAAATACTGAACGTGAGGAGTAAACATGGGTTAGGTTTTCATTTTAAATTTTTTATTTTATTTGCCGCCCATCGTCAGATACATTTCTTCCTTTTAATTTTCCAATCATACCCTCTATCTTTCAATTTATATCAAAACATATCCCTCCTTTTTAGTTTTAGAACAACCCAACTTCTTTTTAATGGCTTAAAGTTAATCATGGTAACAGGACAGGGATGGGGCGGGTTTTATAATACCCGGCCCCGGTTTTTAGTAATAGCCCCCAGCTCCGGCACCTGTCCCTGACGGGTATGGAGATTAATATCTCGTCCCCGATAAACCCCCGATCAAATCCTATGAAAAATATATATTAGTTTGAGTCTACCGGGGATCCCCAACCCGGGTTTGAATAACATCCCTCGGTCCCGGCCCCGGTTTGAGTCTACCGGGGATTCTCGGCCTCTGGACCCGTTTTAACGGGAAATCCCCATCCCATCCGGGTCGGATGAGTCGGGTTCCCCACCGGGTCGGAGCACATCATCATCCTTACTTAAAGTTAAGACATATTTTTTATCATTAACCTTTCTTAATGATACAACAAATTATAAGTTTCTTCCCATTTACTTATAATATTGAAATATAGATTGAAGCATTTTAACAAAAAAAAAAAAAAGATTTAGGGATTTTTTGTTACAACAAATTTTCTGAAAAGATCTATAAATAGAAAAAATAAAAGGGATAAATTTTCTAAAGAGCGAATTACATTGGTGGTCCTCACCGTATGCTCGGATTGGATTTGGGTACCTAAAACAAACTATCTATATTGATGGTTCTAACTTTTTAATTTTGTAACACTCAATATTCTTGAAGTTAACACATCATCAGTCAACAACCGTTAAAAGAGATAAATCAATCTTTGAAGAAACTATATGGACCAAAAGTGTAATTCACTCTAAAATTAATTGTCATTTTACATTTTTTTTTCAAATTTTTTTATTAAAAGTATTCAAAATACAGTTGTCTTAGGATAGTTACATATTAAAAAATTCGTTAGGATAAATAATTTTTTTGTTATAAATAAAATAATTATGTTTTAAAAGTTAATATTATAAAACATTATTAAGTTGAATTATCTAAATAATTTTTTTGTTAATTGTATTTAAAATATTTTCAATAAATACATTTTTTTAATACGTGAATCACAATTAATTTTAGAGTGGATTACACTTTTGGTCCATGTACTTTGCCCAAAGATTTATTTGTCCATTATAACGCTTGCTAACTAAATGTGTTAACTCCAATGACCTTGAATTTATGAAATTGACAAGGTAGAGACCATCAGTGTAGATAATTTGTTTTTAGGAACCAATTCCAAATTTTAAGCAAACCACAAGGACCACTAATGTAATTAATTTTTTTCTAAATTTGAAAAACTTTTTAAATTGTAATCAACGGTAGGAGATAGAAATGTATTTTTAATATTTCACTTTATCTCCAATTTATTTAAAATTAAATGTATTAAATATTTTAATAATATGGTTTATATATATATATACTACCTTATAAATCAGATTTATTAAAAATCTTAAAAACAATTTTTAATGCACAAAGTCTTAGAAGTCTTAAAAACAACTCATAATACATTAAGTGCTACTACTTTATGCATTCAGTCTTAAAATCTTTTAATCTACAATTAAAATAACATATAGTACAAGTTACCAATGTACATTATTACATTTTCTTTTCATGTTCCTAAGATACTTTTGACATCTTTCATTTATGTCTCCATCCTCTCATGCCTCTATATCTTCTCCACATCCCCTAATGTGAGATTCAAAATGATATTCACTATTAGTTATTAAAAAATTTCTCATTCATCTCTCATTCAATTGCTCTAGAACTCTTAGTCTCGCTCTCGATCTCTTGATTATTTGCTCTTGGTATAAATCGAACACATTTGTGGAATCGTTTAAATATATTGGATTTTAAATATATTGAATTTTAAACTGTAATACAAATTTTTTCATCGATAGACTGTAATTGGAATCATAAGTCTTATTTATTCAAATTGTATTAATATGTAAAAACCAAGTGTAACTTATATCATCGTTAAATCTTCTCTAATAAAACTAATGAAACTTCAAAATCGTTAAAATTCACGGCTCTTTCCGCATTGCGCATGTTCACAACTAGTATTTTTTTTTTAAAGTTTGTTGATACATTGAATTTACTGATATTTTAATGATGCATTTAATGTTGAAATATCAAAAATAAATAAAATGCTATAGCTGAATGTTAATTTTTAGAAATTTTGGGTTTTGATTCTTTATTCTGGATAAATTATAGACATGCTCTCAATAAATTTTTAGTTGATTAATTAATTATAACATGTAGAAAAATATAATGTCGATTGTGATATATTATGTTTCTAGGTCGTGACATATATTGATAATCAAGAAAAATTGACTGAAAACATAAAAATCTTACAACCAATTTCAACGAACGATTTAAACAACTGAACAATCTAAAAATCTTAACAGTTTGAAACAATTGATATTGATGTCTACTACAACTGAAAATACTAAAGTATAACACCAGTAGTGAACCAAAACAATGTCATCATAATATCTCCTTTCATATATACTTCCATTAGTATATACCATGTGGTTTTAAGGAATAATTGTACGTCAACACGTCTATATTGGATTAAACTTAAAGTTAATACGAAAAGTTGATATGCATAAACACTAGATAACTTGCACGTATGCAATATACAGTAACTGAAAATATAGCATATGAGATCTCAAACTGAACTTGCACATTATGAGAGTCAAATATCTCAACTGAACCAACCAAGTACAATGACTAAATTATGTACTGGTTTCATCAGTCTAAGTTGAACTAAATTGAGTTAGTGTCCTCCCAATACAATGATACATGTATAATGTTTGGGCGATGCTCCACTTGTTACTACTGATGTATAGATACATAACCTTACGTACCCAAACTATTCATGCATATATGAACACCGTGGTAAAAAAAAATAGCATGCTTTAAAACTGTAAGCACAAAGTATGCAAGTATATCTTCAAACACACTGTATTTTAATCTTGTTTTTGTTTCTTTATATATATATATATATATATATATATATATATATATATATACTACATTAATAAGCATTTACATCAAAGTCTTAAGTACAGCTAATAAGACATAAAGTAATAGCATTTTATGCATGAATTAAAGAAATCTCTTAAATACAATATGTAGAGCATGATGTACAAGGTGTTAATGCATGCTTTTAAAACAATCCTAAAAACCAAGTTGTATGTTCACAGTATTCTTTATCTCCTCCAGAGTTTTTTTAGTTTCCTTTAGGAAACCCATTGACCAATGTCATTTTGTAAATTACAAGTGTAGGAAAAAAAAAAACCCACCATGCCTACATTAGTATTTAAAATCTAGGAACAACAAATGTTACAACATTGAAAATATCGTAATCCAGCAATTCCAGTTCACATAATATTCGTTGAAAATAACATATTCATATTCAAAATGAAATGACAAGCGCTTTCCATTTGACTTGGTTTTTCTATGACAATCATGTGTTTATTTGTTGTAATCGTCAATCAATATTATCGCTTACATTTATATAAAATTTATACCCCGTTATATTGCGCGGAATACACAACTACTATATATATATATATATATATATATATTATAGTCTCAATTATTTACAAATATTATAATTCATATAAACCAAATAATTGATGAAAATGAATATTGTTGTGTGTGTATTATGTAGTAAAGTTAACATCAAATGGTTTCTTAGAGTTTAGACTTCCACTTGGAACCACCAAGAAGGTTAGGGAGTCAACATCATAGAAGGTTATGTGAATGATGGGTTTGGTTTCTTTCCAACTATTTTTTTAATGACAATTTTTTTTTGTTTTAGTTTTTATTTAATATAATAAATATTTTTTCTTCATTTTGTAATTTTTGAAACTAGACTGTGTATTTCAAGTAACCTCCTTTATACTGGCATTTTCATTTTACTGGTTTTTCGGGGGGCGCTCTACCCACTGAGCTAATAGCCCGTTGTACGAGCCCCCCACTAGGGGCCCACTATGCCAAAAGCGAGAGAAACCTCATTCCTTTTCGCTTGTGTTAAGGGTTTTAACTGGTTTTGAATGAATTGATGTTGCGACCCGGATGGTTAGTTGGGTTCTTTTGGCTTGTTGCCAGTTCGTTTTCTGTTGCTCGTGGTTTAATTTTGTCTTTTGTTAGTTGTCGTGTTATATTTGTTTTTTGTTTGCTTCTGTTTCTACTTTTTGCAGTAGCAGTCGGTGTTGTACTCGCATTTAAAGTTATTATTGGTTTATATTAACATGTGTTTTTTTTTCTTTTCTAGTATTCCACCTTAGCGTTTGTGCTATTCTTCTTCATAGATGTTATACGAAGGCATTTGAACAGATTCCTGATTTAACAAAATGTTTTTAAAAGATTTAAATTTTCTGGAAGAATTTAGAATTATATAAAATTAGAAGGATTTGCAATTTTTAATATGTTTGGTTCGGTGGATTTGGAATGAATTAGGTTCCATCTCGTATAGATAATTTATAAATAAGTTACTTTTTATTGATAGGTTAAATGCACGAAATAACAACCTACTTTCATTAATTTTCTTATTATAACATTCTACTTTTGTTTTTCTTTATTACAGCAATGTACTTTCAAATTATTTTTTATTAAGATATTGTGCTTTAAAAAATCTACCAATAATAACAATGAGTAACCTCTTACCTTTTAAACCGGTTAACCCTTTGACTTTTTTGCTTGTGTGACTTTAATGAGGTGATGTGGATGACACATCATTTTGATGACTTAACTAGAATTAAAATAAAAACCTATT